ACATAAACAAGCAGTGACGTCATAGTGAATTAGGTCAATTAAAAAAAAGGTCGTTGAAGGCGCCTTTGTTGCATGCTGCATACTAAGTCCGAAATGCACTATGGTGCATTTGCACTATGCAATTAGTCGAAGGTCACAACAATATTTTGTTGTTGTTGTTGTTTTTGATTTCGTACCATTTATATTTGATTATCTATGTCTATTGTGCATATAAATAAATAATGGATAAAATTGACAACGCCCTTATAAATACTAGGTCACAGCGATATGGGATCTCCAGCCGTATATTTTCTCCTAATAGTGTACTGACAATATTCACATATGATCCACAGCACATTTCAATCTTGGTATGCAACATGCAGCATGCAACCAAAACCTTCACCTATCTTTTTTGAAAGAAATAGACACCAGTTTACTTACTGTTTACATCAATAAAAACCTCTTTGAGTGTTATGTTGCCAAGACTATTGGTTGCTGTACATCCGTAATACGCAGCATGTTCGATACGCACGTCTGTGATAAGTAGCTCAGCCTTCTTTTGATCGGGTAACATTATCCGTTCAGTTTTTCCTAGTAGTCTTTTCGTCCATACAAAAGATGGTTTAGGATCTCCATTCACATCACACTTTAGTCGAAGGGTTTGTCCCAGCTGTAGCATGACACCTTGCAATGCAGCTTTTTTTGTTGGTGGAACTGTTAAAAATACGATGTATTTGTGAATGTGAATACAAAGTTATGTAGAAATATATTAAATTGAAGAAACAGTTGAAGAAAGAGAAAGCAATACTGAAGATTTTTTTTAATGGAGTGCTTGAATATGTAATCATGTGACACATTCCGGTCACCATCCGATGGTCATGCATATACTGCAATAAGTTGCATAATATACTGCAATGGTGTTTTTATACCCAAAAATAGACCACAATGCATCAAGTTCGTTATCTTAAAAAAATATCTTAAAGAAATTTTACACGACATTTATCGATTCAATATACATCATAATCTTACCAAGTACAGTTAGCAATGCAGAATCTTCTGTTTTCCCAGCCCTGCTGCTTGCAATACATGTATACCTTCCTTCGTATTCTCCAGTATTTTGTACTTTGTCAATCACGAGTTTAATCCCAGTGTTTTTGGGTTTGTGTTTGAATCTCCATGATATTGTGGGCTCAGGTACTCCAGTGGCATTACAATAAAATGATGCTGTTTTCCCTTGTATGACAATCTGGTTTGTCGGTTTGTATTGGATTTCTGGTTTAACTATAGATAAATGACATCAAATTTATAAGTTTTTGAAACGACAACAATTATGTTTTAGCCTAGATAGTGCATATTGTATTTTTGTTTTTATCTCAATTACGAATAGTTAGCTCGCGCAGTTGTATGTCGTTACATGTTACGGCTTGAGGATGGCAAATATGGCGGAAATCTCGGCAATACAATTAACCTATAAAGCGAAGTGGATACAGTTTTTCATTTCAATATGCATCCTACTTACAAGAATACCATTGAACAATATGTTTATTCACACCCAGTTTTAGGGCAAATAATATAAAGTTGTATTGAATTTGGTAAGCTTGACAAACGCAAGGAAATTTAGAGGTTAAAACTGGAGAATAACTATAAAAATATTTTAAAAAGTACAGACTTACTTAGAACTTCTATTGTCCCTCTTGTAGTCTTGTTCAAGGTTTTGCTGTAAGCCTCGCACGTGTAGTTGCCTGCTTCTTCGTAACTTATTCCATTGCCAGATGCTGTAAGGGGCAACTGGACGCCATCTTGGCCACCTGAGTTGATGGAACTCAATGTTTGAAAGCTTTTGATTTGTGAGGCAGATTTAATTGTTACTTCTTTGTACCAAGTCAAGGCAGGTTTTGGAAAACCAACTGCATTGCACAGAAGAGAAGCTCCCCTCTGGCCAAGAGTAAGAATGTAAGGATTTGGCGTTGTGATGGAAACATTGTGAAGAACTGTGAAAAGACATTCAAAGCATTTTTTAAGTATCAAAATCTCTACTTACAAATTTCAATGGGAAGGGTCACCTTTTTATGCAGACAAAAGAAAGGGAGGGGGGTCTAAAGATTTTTTATTACTGTTTGTAGGGATTCCTCTGGTCCACCCAACACCCCCCCCCCCCCCCAAAAAAAGCCCCCTAAATACTTACAATTAACATTTACATATCCATAAGAAGAGAACTGCGAGCGTTTATCTTTGTATCGTGCTTCACATCGGTAACTGCCTTGATCTGTTCGTCTTAGTTCAGTAATCGTTAGCTGTGTCCCATCTTGTGAAACATCCAGTCTACCTTCATCTGTGCTTATCTTGATCTCTGAATCGTGGTCCTTTTTCCTCATAAACCAGTGGATTTTGGCTTTTGACATACGGTCCCGATTGCATGTCAGGGTTACCTTTTGTCCCTCAACGTATGTCTTGTTTCGAGGACGCACGGCAAACGTGCCATCGTCTTAAAAATAAACACATACCAAGTGAAACT